TATCATAATGTTGTTACTTTTTTTTTTTTAATGTGAGTTATGTATATGCAATTCCTTGAATGTCATTTTTTTATTTTTAATAATCTCAAATTGAGTATTAAAGATATAAATTTTCCCTTTGAACATATAATTTTATATATTTTAATTTACTCTTTTAACCTTACTTTTTATTAATACTTTGGATGAGTTGAAAGTGGTTTTATTAGATTATGAGTTGAAACTGGTTTTATTAGATTTTACATTTTTTTTATTATTTATGCAAAAATGAATAGAATGCATGAAATTAAAAATTTTGGGACTTAATTGAAATTTTTTGAAAAGTTTAAGACTAAATTGCAACAAGAAAAGTTAAAATCATTGACCAAATTTAGTAAATAAAAGATTTAAGGATCATGTTGACTCAATGTACTCCAAGAGGGGGGGTGAATTGGAGTTTCAAAAAATCTCCCATTTTTGCAACCACAAAATCAAAATTAAAGAGAGTAGAGAAGAAGAGCTTGCTCAATGATTTATAGAGGTTCGGTCCAACCACTTGGAGCCTAGTCTTTTACCTTGACTTCACTCACCAAGGATTTCCTCCACACTCTCCACTAACAACAACAAGGGTGACTTAAAGGAGCCAGTCAATCCTTTTACAAGAAAATGAGTATTTCTCTCAAACCTCACCCCTTTACAATGTAAACCCCACAAATCCTCTCAATAGATCACTCTTGAAGGAATAATCACACCCTCAAGATCACTCACAAATAGAACAAGAAGAGAATTACATGTAAAGATCTCTCAAAGATCAAAAACTCAAGTTAAAGCTAATGTAGGTAGGTAAAGATATTCAATACAATACTCTCTAAACTTCTTCAAATCTGTTACCAACTATATTTATAGCCCCTTTCTTAAAAATAGCCGTTTCTAGCCGTTGGGGGTCATTAAATGCTCTGCAGGACGCAAAGCTCAAGTTGCAGGATTGTCAAGAGAGCCAGCTTAACTTCCTAGAGCTGGCTTTGCATAGTCAGCTCACCATTTATGCAGCCGACTTTGCGGGATTTCTGCACATTCTGTTTTCTCGAGAGTCGGCTGCAAAACTTTGAGCCGGCTTTGGAACTCCAACTTTAAATACATTAAATATTATTCAAAAAAGTTGACCGTTGTGCATTAAATGCACCCTCATAGCCGGTTACAAAGTTGGAGCCAGCTCTGCTTCTATTTTCCGCGCGCGCCAAAACACCAGTTGAATTTCTTGCCTGTAGAGCCAGCTTAAGAAAATTGCAGCCAGCTCTGGGAAGCAAAAGTGTAGAGAGCTGGTTGCAGATTTTGTTGAGCCGGCTCTCTGCACATTTTTCTCCTTTGAGCCCTTTTTAATGCAATCTCATGTTGCTTACTTTGCAGTATATTGGCAATTTAACTACACACTTAATAAATCAATTAGTCACTCAAATGTGTTTTGTAATCATCAAAATCATAGGTACAACAATCTCCCCCTTTTTGATGATGACAAAACACTTTGATCATGAAAGCATATATATTTTAATATTAACCTCAGAATTTTAGCACCAAGAAAATGGCATTAAGACATTAAGACATTCCAAAAAATTATGAGAATTCAGCATACTTTCTCCCCCTTTTTGTCATTCATCAAAAAGTATATAAACATAAGCAATAAACTCCCCCTTAATTCATGCTATCAACCTTTAAAGCATCAAGAGTATGTAATGAATATAATCATCAATATAGACAACCAAAGTCATGAATACAGTCATCAACTAATAAACTCCCCCTCAATAAGAGCATATTATCGTCAAAATCATAAACAACCATTCACAAAGCATGATAACACACGTGATGCCATTTCCATTCATAAAATAAGATAAAAGGTTCAAGACATATCTATAGTCAAATAAAACATAAAATGCATAACCCTAAGATGTCCATCCTAAAGATTAGCCAAACTAAAGAAATATCAAGTTAGGTGGCATCAGGTGGGGGTGGAGGAAAAAAATGGTTAACAAGCCGATCAAGCTTCCCTTCCACGTTATTCATTCTTCCTCTCATTTCTGTCCGGAAACCATAAAAGTCGGTGTGTAGTTGCTGTATCTCAGATATCATTAACTCCATGGTTTTGCGATTTGTCCTTTGCATGGAGACTCGAAAGGGCCTTAGGCTGTCATCTTCATGTTCTTCTTCCGTTTGTTCTGCCATTTCTTGATATGTATCACCTTCTTCTTCATCAGCTTGCTGTTCCATTGCTTGATCCCCTTTCTTCATCCAACTACCATTTTGAAACACAACTTGCATTTTTTCAAAAAATGCTTTAGTCAAAATGGTCCCAACTTTAATTCTCCCATGCTTAAAAGGATCAAGATCAATGTTTTTCCTCTTTACTAGCCTAGTGATCAATGCACAATGCGAAAGACCCATATCCAAGGAATAATTCTTGATTAAGCTCCGGAAAATGAATCTTCCAAGATTCACCCTTTTTCCGTTAAGAAAATAGTCGAACCAAGGAAGATCACTAGCAAGTACAAAAGATTTTGACCTCTTTCTCTGAGCTATAATGCGAGATATAATCCATTGTAGTGCCCTATTTTCTGGTGAGAAGGACCCCACTTTAATTTGATTTTCAGTGCAATTAGGGGCAATTCTTACTCTAACTAAGGCATGATTCACATCTTGAAACTCATCATCTCCTCCTTCAGGTATAGCTAATACAATACAAATATCCCTTGGTGAAAACTAAAATGACACCCCAGCAACCATAGTTTTGCATTTATTCCCTCTTGGTTTCAAGTTAGCATAAATTTGATGAACAACTTCACAGTACACATGCTCTTTAATTTCTACATAATCCTTCCACCCAAGTTCCCTAAACATTTGTTCAACACGCATATCTCCCTAAGGAAATTGACTGAATTTTACACAATTGCAAGATAAAACAGCCATATTCTTGATAATTTCATAATTTGCAGAGGCTTGGGTATCCAAAAAGAGATTTGATTGGGAGATGTTACCTTCTTCTTGAGCTTGACCACCGGTGCTAGAACTACCCACTTGTTTCCTTTTACTTCCAGCCCTTCCTGAAGCTATGAAAGAGAAATCCCAATAGCCACACCAAAAATACAACAGATCCCACACAAATTGAAGTGAAAAGCTTGAGGTTTTGTGTTGGGTATGCAAGGATTTGATGGTATTTGAGTATTTAAGGGGTGAACTTTGGAGATTTAGAGGGATTTTGGTGTTTGAGAGAGTGAATGGCAAGTTTTGGGAAAGGAGAGGTCGCGGGTTGAAGATAGATCTGGGCTGGTTTGTGCGGGGACAGAGAAACCCGAATGATTTAAAAAGCTGCAGGAGAGCCGGCTCTAGTCCTAAAGCCGGCTTAAATTTAGAGAGAGAAGAGTCTCGGGTTTTTGCGTGGAGCCGGCTGTGAGAATGGTTGAGCTGGCTCTACTGGCCTTGATTGGGACAAACAGAAGGTTTGGGGCTATTTTGAAGACAATGCATCTTAATTTGATATTTCTTCATTTAACTAAGTTTAAATTGGACATCAACTACTAAAGAATGCAACTTTAGTCATATATCAATGTATGCATAATCAAATATCATGAATATAATCAAGGTACACAAATCAAAGCATTAATATACACAAATTCTAATAATCAAATTCATTAATTTCAAGAATCATATCAAGCACTAGGAAAGACACATCAAATGGAATCATACTCAACAAGCATATGTATCAAAGAGTGAGCACACATAAACCAATAATTAATAGTCATGCTAATGTAATTATACTCAATGAATAAATGCAATAAAACAAATAATACCAATTTGAGCACATGAGTGGAGCATTCAAAAACAAATTTCCTTTGCACTTCCACTCCAACATTCTTGTTGGGGCATAAGTCTTTTTAAGATCTACTTTGCTTTCCTTATGACTTTGCCATCAACTTTTCCGACAAAACAAAATTAAGTTTTGATTTTTGGTACCCAAATTTGCTTGGGTCCATGAGGGTTAGTGCTTAAAGTTCCTTTTGGAACCCAAATTTGCTTCACTTTACCTTGAGCTATCAATCTCTTCAAAGGACATACATATGCAAAGTGTCCATTTGTACCACAACAATAGCAAGTAACATTAGGATGATAGGATTAACTTGCTCTTACAAAAGAATTCTTGAAAGTCTTTTGTTTTTTAGAATAATCAAATCCAATGCCCCCTTTGTCATAAATACTTCTTTGAGATTTTAAGATTAGAATCAAAATTTTATTTACTCAAGGTAAATTTGGAAATCACATTCTCAAGATCACAAGTTTTTCTCTTTAAAACCTCATTTTCCTTCTTTAAATCTTCATTTCCTTTCTTCAAATCCTCATTTTCCTTTTTCAAAGCATTATTAGACTCCTCATTCTTTAAAGAAGCAATCTCACCATTTAAAGAGGCATTCTCTTTAACTAAAACCTCATTTTGTTTTGAGAGAGATTTAATCTCATTCCTAAGTAATGAAATGGTTTTAGTAAGAGCAATATTCTCATTTCCTAGTTTCTTAATGTCATTTATAGAGCAATCAAGAACTTTGCATTAATGTCATTTATAGAGCAATCAAGAACTTTGCATAAATCATTATAAGAATACTCAAATGAACTTTCATTAATTGAACTAGAGAAGTTAGAGTTTACCTCCTCATCATTGTAGCTATCCTTTTGAGCCATGAAGCAAAGATTTGCAACACCATTTTCCAAGGAGCTTTCACTTTCTGTTGAGCTAGTCTCATCATTGCTCCAAGTGGCGGTAAAAGCTTTCTTCTTCATGCTCTTCTTGTTTTTCCTTTCACCCTTCTTCAATTTATTGACATTCATTTCTATAGTGCCCCATCTTGTTGCACTCATAGCATTTCACACTCCTTTTGGTAGACTCTCCTTCATCTCTTTTTGCAAGCTTGCTATTGATGTTCTTCTTTATGAATCTCTTCACTTCCTTTGAAATCAATTTGGTGATGTCCTCCTCATTGCTAGACTCATCATTACTAGCATCATCTTCACTCTCTTTCTTTTGGTTGCTAACCTTGAAAGCAACATTCTTCTTCTTCTTCTCAACTACTTCAACTCCACCATCAACTTGAACTTCTATCTCATATGTCATCAATTTTTCAATGAGACCTTCAAGCTTGAGGGTGTCGAGATCCTTAGACTCTCTTCAATTGCGGTCTTCTTGGCTTCCCAACTCTTGGGCAAGCTTCTAAGAACCTTCCTCACTACTTCTTGAGAAGGATAGACTTTACCAAGAGCCTTGAGATTGGTGACTATATCATTCAATATTGTATACATATCTTGAATGCTTTCCTCCGGTTTCATCTTGAAAAGCTCATACATGTAAATGAGTCTATTGATTTTTGACTCCTTCACTCGGCTTGTTCCTTCATGTGTTACCTCCAACATGTCCCACATCTCCTTGGCCGTATCACATCCGGATACTCTATGGAATTCTGTTGGATTGAGAGCATATTGATTGCTTTGTTGTTGATCATGATCTTCACCAAGTCTTCATCATTCCATTCAACTTTTTCCTTTGGCACCTCACTTTCCCCAACTACTTTCATAGGCACATATGGACCTTTCATAGTCACAAACCACGCCTTGGGCACATTTGCAAGCATGAAGACCTTCATCCTATTCTTCCAATAATTATAATTAGTACCATCAAAGAAAGGAGGCTTAGTGGTAGACAAACCTTCAAGTGGTTGAGAAGATTGAAATTGAGCCATCCTCGATCAACTCCTACGTGGTTAAACCTTCAAATTGGAGCCCTTGCTCTGATACCAATTGTTGACTCAATCTACTCCAAGAGGGGGGGTGAATTGGAGTTCCAAAAAATCTCCCCTTTTTGCAACCACAAAATCAAAATTAAAGAGAGTAGAGAAGAAGAGCTTGCTCAATGATTTATAGAGGTTCAGTCCAACCACTTGGAGCCTAGTCTTCTACCTTGGTTTCACTCACCAAGGATTTCCTCCACACTCTCCACTAACAACAACAAGGGTGGCTTAAAGGAGCCACTCAATTCTTTTACAAGAAGATGAGTATTTCTCTCAAACCTCACCCATTTACAACGTAAACCCCACGAATCCTCTCAATAGATTACTCTTAAAGGAATAATCACACCCCCAAGATCACTCAAAAATAGAACAAGAAGAGGATTACATGTAAAGAT